AAATACGAAATAATTTTCAATGTCTGTTTTCGCTAGCAGTGTCCCTTTACCAAAGGATTTGATCAGGCCAATCGCACCTGAAATGGTTTGGTATTTGACTGAGACATCTTCAGGGACGATACTGTAATTTATCGAATGACCTTCCGGATTAGAGAGGTGATGGGTTAAGCGAAACGCATTTGATTCTTTTTTAGGGATAATGCCTAATTGAGAAATTTGAAAATTTGAAAATGGGGGGCTCATAAACAGACCAGCAATTCTGTAAGCCTTAAGTAATTGTTCTTTTTTTTAGTATAAGCACTGTTGAGTTATATCGTGCTGATCTTAAATTGTCAGACTTCCTATATTGTCGTGAACCTTTGTATTGTAACCGAAACCCATATGTAAAACCATGTTCTAGACATTAAACTTGAATTGCATTGTACACTTCAAAAGATAATTTTAAGATGTCAAAATTAACAGGAGTAGGTAGCATTGCGGAATTAGGTTTATAGTTTGGTTGGGTGTTTTTTGGGGTTTTGATTTGGGGGCTGTTAGTTTTGAGGTTTAGCATTATGGAACATGCTTGGGTTGTTAGCCGGAAAGGGATGTTGAGCTGTGTGTTGTGTAACCTTTTGGACAGACTTTAATCCAATATCAAGTGCTTGCATATAGAGCTTGTTATTGAGCTCATCATATGGCATGGTTTGGTTGACTTTTCTAAAGTTATTGTCATAAAGCATAGCGGCAGCAAGACCCGACCGTCTCGACAATGTTTGGATTGTGTCAGCATATTTCAAAAGACTGACAGTTTTAGTGGGGTGTGCCTGAACATACACGGAAACAGAAATGTGAAAAGCTTGAACCCATTGTTCAGTGGTTTTAATTTGAAATTGTTTTTGTATTGGACACCAAGGATAAGTTGTTCCCGTTAACTTGAAGCTGGAATTGATCTGGGTGTGATTTAGCAGAGAGCAATGCCCCAAATTCCACACATTTATTGTACATGATTTTGGCTTTGATTTTAGGATCTAAATGTACGCCCAGAGGTCGGGAAATGCTACTGTAAAAGAACTGGATAAATCGGTATTTGTTCATGTAATACACGCAACTATATGTTGGATGGGTGACTGAATAAAGTAGGGATCAAGGACTGGTGGCTAAAGTGTTTGTAGATTAGTGGTCGGTGGTGGTTGTCTGGTTGGCAGATGGGAGGAAGGAAGAAGGCGTTGCTGAAATAGATGGTAAACTGTATTGCAGAGGCTGCAAGTTCCTGGTGGAGGAGTGTTGTTACAAATCTGCATTCGTAGCAGAACGACTAGGCAATGCCATCAACAAGGCCGGCATAGTAGATGACTCTGGCACTTGTTGAGTGAAGGCCACGTCCTTTTCCATCATTCAGACGCAGTACCCCTGCAGTCATGTCGCTGGTAGATGGAAAAGCAGGTGCCAACCCGACAGCTGCGTTATTCTGGGCTTGTTGATCCACCCAGGTCTGTGGAGGAGGTGTAGGTTTACCTCTATATTGTTTGGTTGTCGCCGTGTAGAGACGACCCTATGGTTGATAGCCGCCCTTCGCCTAGAACGGCGTAAACGGCCTATGGAACATGAAAAAGTAAACATAAAAGGCAAGCTATGTTCCCATAAAAATACTTATTTGAAAACAACAATATATAATTTAAAAACAATAGATGAGAGTGCTGCACAACCTGTACCAGAAAATGTTAAAGACAAGGTACCTAAACCTGTACACATCTGGCACAAAGCTGTTCAACCGGATACCTTATATATGTTGTTCAACTGTATACAAGATCCTGCACAACCCACAATTGGAACCCAAACATACTAGTTGCTTAACCGGAAAACATGCTCCTGCACAATTTGCAATGGAATGAAACCAAAATAATTATAAAAAAAAACTTCAGGTCTACTTTCACAGGAATACATACATAAATGTAGGGATTAAGCCGTAAATAATCGAATGTAACATAGAATTACTGACTACATATTAAAACAACCCACCGCATTCAAATAATGTCGATGTGAACGAAACACAAGATGACTTTGGGGTAATGACAATTTAGATAATGCACCTTTCTATCTATAAAGAATATTTGTTTGTAAAATATTTGAGTCTGATGAAGGAGATATTTTAACTTTAAACCATTTTCCCCATTTGGGCCCCAACCCTCCAGTCCCTGGGGATGGGGCAGGATCTTATTTTCTCATACGATCGTATTGCCATCTGACATCATAATTTATTCCGACCAAGTTTGAATAGTTTCCTGTTGAAAATTGACAAAATAAACCCAAAAGTGTTATTTCCCTATACATGTATAAACTAAATTAAGTCAACCTTAACCGCTCCCCAAGCAGGAATCGAGGCCCGGAGGTAATGAAATTGAAAAATAGATAAAGCCCCTAATGGAATTTTCATCCATGCACACAATTTGATTGAAGTACATGTGAGTCTGAAAAAGAAGACTTTTAAAATATTGGTAAATGTTCCCTTTGGAGCCTCGTCCTAGCCCCTGGGAAGGAATCCCAATTTTACAATGTAATACTCTCTTCCAGAAAAGATGATTCTGACCAAGTTTGAATAATTTCCTGCTGAAAATGAAATATACCCAAAAGTGTTATTTACCTATATAAACTGTGGTAAACAAGGGAGAATGGATTGCCCGGGGTAATTAAATGACAGTTAATATAAAGCCAATGATGATATTTCCATCCATGCAGATAATTTCATTGTAAAGCATCTGCATCTGGAGAAAAAGACTTTTGAAATATTGGCAAATGTTCCATTTGGTGACCCGCCCTAGCCCCTGGGAATGGAGCAGGAATCCAAATTTTACAATTAAGTACCCTCTTACCCCAAAGATGATTCTCATCAAGTAAGAATTATTTCCTAAAGAAATTGACAAAATATACCAAAAGTGTTATTTCCCTATATAAGCTATAGTAAACTTTAACCCCTCCCCAAGGCAAAACGGATGGCCCGGGATACTGAAATCTACAATTTAAATAAAGCCCCTGATGATCTGAGCATCCATGTAGAGTAAATTACTGTAGTACCTCCGAGTTTGGAGAGGAGGACTTTTGAAATATTGATTAACTTTCCCTGTTTGCCCCACCCTGGTCCCTGGGGTTGGGGTAGGAATCCCAATTTTATACTTTCGTAGACTTATCTACCAAGGATGATTTTGACCAAGTTTAAAAAAACAACTTCAAATATTAGTTCATGAGATGGCCGACGGACGACGACGGACGGAAAGTGATTAGAATAGGTCGCTTGAGCCAGTTTAACACCATCTTTCACTGTCTCATAGCTTTACAGTAAACTAGAAAAGTTAGGCAAATGAGTAGGAAGGATAAAGCACGTATTGCAGTGGGTGAAGAATACAGATTAGAACTGTCGGTCCCTTGTACATATTGATTGAGCTCATCTAATGGTTGTCGAAACGTTTTAAGCCGCCCGGACGTGACGTAGGAAGAAGTGATTTATGTTGTGCATTGTTTCTGAAGCCCGCCCCAATATCGTATAAAGCGTTTCTAGATTATCTATTTCCTATCATCATTGATGGCATTCTTTACCAAAAGTAAACCGGAAGAATGTCAAACATGCAAGATAGGGTCGGCCTCACAAGGCTCAACGCTTACTTTCCTATCAATCCGGCAGAATGCTTTCATTACAAATAAACGATGCATTGAATTTAAACTCATTGTCAATAAAAAGCTAAAACATCCCGATGAGAACAACATCTACATGTAAATCGATGATAATGAAAAGTCTTTGAAATAAATATAAATTTCCAGTAGAATACTTGCCAAGCGAAACCTTACCCATAGAAATAATTGATGATAGTGTTAAAAGTCTTTGTTGTCTGATTTAAACCGCTGTAAATGTAAGGGACGTTTAGTCTAGCAACCGAATGCAGAATTGAGGGCTTTCTGTCATTCTCTCTGCTGGGGTACAAAAGCGAACAAAATATATCTGCGGCGACCATTGCAACACTTGGACCTGTCATAAAATCTGTCTCCACATTACCTCGCGTTTGGACTTATTGCTGGGCGTGCGTCCAAGTCAAGAAGGTTTTGGGTTTAACGTAATATTGAAATTGATAAGTATTGTTCTCTTATAGACGATCATCTTTAATTGATGGTAGTAAGGACCGACAGGTTAGCCCGTTGTCAGTATGCTGGGACCGAGAAGGAATTCCATGCTGCCATGTCCAAGATAGGATATTTCAATTTGATGACACATTAAGTGGGATTTGAGTGGCCCCGTCATCCGACATTACGCCTTAGTATGACCTTGACTGTAACGAGGACATAAAAACCAAGACTCGAATGTTTTTAGTCTCTTAACAACTCATGACTTTTACTTTAAATCTTTTCTTTTGCAAGATTTGTTGGATTTTCGTCTTCAGTCTCCCTGTGTAATTTGCGTCCGTTTCCTGCATTCAAGGTAATCTGATGAGGGGTAGGGGTGGGGCTGGGGGTAGAAATGAGTAAATAAAACATTTAGTTGATTTATTTCAAAAAGTCAAAAGACACAGAGTCATGTTTTTTGCTTGTAACTGGCTCGGACAAAGGCTGACAAAGATTGCTAAAAGAAGCCTGGAGCTCTTTTTTAGGTTATTGACGTTTTCATGCAATCATAGCTGATGCGAGGACATTAAACATTAAACAATCAAGTATAACGCCCTCACAACAACAATGGCAGAAAATTCCGCGAAACCGACAACAGTATACATAATTACACATAATGAATACACTTTGTTAAAACGGATAATGAAATCTATACAAAAAAGGACTTTGAGCGATACACGTATATTGTGTCTCTGTGAACGGACCGCCAGAAAAAAAAGGGGGGAAAAAAGAGAACTATCAATGCTGACTGACCTCCAGAACATAAAAACGGTAGTAATGCTAACTGACAAAAGAAAAAGAAAAAGAAAAAAGAAAACTATTCATGTTAACAATGAAAGCAGTGCAATGCCTGAATAACAACAGTTCGATTGGATTGTATCATAGTTTATTTTTAGGCAGCAGTATGACAAAAATAATTTTACAAGTCACGTGTTACAAGGATGTAAACTTAACAACTGATATTTTCACCTTTTTGTTAGTTTATGTTGTACATCACAGCACACTACACCACACACATGTAATTGTTTACATCAGATGCAATTAACGGTATATATACATTTTATAATCTACACACAAAAAATGATCCAACCCGGAATTATGAAAACAGGACTCGAGCCAATGACGTAATAACAAATCAAGATGACAGGTAAGTGATGATACGATGCGAAAGTTAAATGGGATTTTCACCGAGGAAAATTATGGAGTTCAGAATATATGGGGTTTTTTTTCCGTTTCTCTGTATTTACCACATTTCAATACAAGGACATTTTTCGAAATACATTTTTTACAAAATACCTAAATTAAACACTCTTAACAAGTGTTCCTTGCTTTAAAAGAAAGTTAAAGTTATCGCTTAATAGCGGGGAAGTCTCTAATAAAAACCTCCTTGTTAATTACTTTTCTCTTGTTTCTATATTTTCCACAAATTTATAAAACTCAAGATATATGTCCTAACAGTTGGTTGAAATAATTATTTTTTTCGTTTTTTTATAAATTTTGTTTCTCGATTTTTGCTTTTTTTGTGGTTTGTTTTGTTTTGTAAACATAAATACATATCTCCAAAACATATTTACACTGAACATAATGATTGCACATGAACTGAAAGCAAACTCACGTTCTCGAAAGTATTAAAGCATTTTTTGCCTGTTTTGAATGTTAGTCAGATATATATTGTATATGTCATTTTTTCTGAGTGAGACGCACTTCCGCTTCCGGTCAGACAATAGAAGCCATATCGCTGTCCCCGCCGTGTCCTGCAGCCTTCACCGTGGCAACGGCTGTCAAGGCTGATGCCAGTATGTGCAGAAATCCCGCGAGAATGTTTATTCCAAACGGGAAGCTAGCCGAATGTGTTCCGGCTGCCAGGCCGTCGCCGAGAGAGTCGTACAAAGCCGCAAACACAAAAGACCCTCCCAGGGCAAACAAGCCTGAAACAAGTGAAAAACATTCACAGAAAAATCTACGTGTTTACAAAATTATCATATGATGTCTTCTCTCGTTCAGAAGTTGCAGCTGGAAACGAGACAGATTTTCCATTGACTTCCTATTTGTATGTTTATATAAACACAGGCATTGATATGTTTTGAACAAAAAATCAACAAAAACAAAACAAAAACATTAAATAATAATTAAAAAGAAATAACAGCGAGTATACGTTGACTCCAGAAAATCAAATTAAGTCAGACACAAACTTATTTGAAAGGATTCAAATTGATAATCATGTACAGTATAATTAGTAAAATTATAGTTAGCAATTTATGTTACATTACTATGGTATGAGTCTCCTTTACAAAGAAATCTACAATAAGACACATACGCTGTCTTGTATTTATGTTTAATCTTATTTAATACCTTGATGGCGCTTCGAATGAACATTTAAACTCAACCGAAAAGGGGAGTAAACTGATGATAAAAAACACATTTATATTGTGTAAGGTGGCAAACGATTTTTTTTTTCGGCACACAAGGTACAACTGCAGGACAAAGCAAGTTTTTGAAGTCAAGCTTAAACGTATAAATACGTTTGATATTGTCCTGTACTTGTAAAAGATCTGACAATAGAAGAGCCTGTGACACGTGTGTGTCAATGCTAGAGACAGCTTACAACTACAGTAGTTGTACTGACCTGCCGCTCCAAGTAGATAGATGGCCACAGATCGGACTCCTTCCTTTCTTATGGGCAGATACAACACGTGCATAAACAGTGCCAAGATACACAAAAAGCAGGCGAACACTTCAAATATCCTTGAGATGAACAGCCATTCTGTAATAAATTAATAAATGTCACCGATAAATGTATTTCAAATTCTAGGTTTCTTAGAAGGAATTAAAGTTAAATTACAAGTAACGTACATGTTGTCCCCGTATACGTAAATACCAAGAAATGTAATCTCCCTCGAGGTTAATAACAATGGTAGCCTCGATATTTATGTACAATAACCGTTGTTTCTCTTAATGTAAGACGCATATCGTAGTCTCCCTTTACATTAATCACACTTACCGTAATCACCCTAGATATTTATCACACCTACCGAAATTTCCTTCAGTGTCAATGACACTTACCGTAGTCTCCTTCAATGGTAATGACACTTACCGTAGTCTCCCTCAAGGTTAATGACGCTAACCGTAGTCTCCCTCAAGGTTAATGACGCTTACCGAAGTCTCCTTCAATGTCAATTACACTTATCGTAGTCTCTTCAATGTCAATTACACTTACCGTAGTCTCTTCAATGTCAATTACGCTTCCCGTAGTCTCCTTCAATGGTTATGACTCTTACCGTAGTCTCCCTAAAGGTTAATGACGCTAACCGTAGTCTGCCTCAAGGGTAATGACGCGTACCGAAGTCGCCGTCAATGTCAATTACACTTCCCGTAGTCTCCTTCAGTGGCAATAGCCTTTACCGTAGTTTCTTCAATGTCAACTACACTTACCGCAGTCTCTTCAATGTCACTTACACTTATCGTAGTATCTTCAATGTCAATTACGCTTACCGTAGTCTCCTTCAGTGTCAATAGCCTTTACCGTAGTCTCTTCAATGTCAACTACACTTACCGTAGTCTCTTCAATGTCAATTACACTTACCGTAGTCTCCTTCAATGTTAGTTACACTTACCGCAGCCTCCTTCAGTGTCAATTACACTTACAGTAGTCTCCTTCAATGGGAACGACACTTACCGTAGTCGCTTCAATGTCAATTACGCTTTCCGTAGTCTCCTTCAATGTTAGTTACACTTACCGCAGCCTCCTTCAGTGTCAATTACACTTACCATAGTCTCTCCAATGTCAATTACACTTCCCGTAGTCTCTTCAATTTCAACTACACTTACCGCAGTCTCTTCAATGTCACTTACACTTACCGTAGGCTCTTTAATGTCAATTACACTTAACGTTGTCTCTTCCTTGTCAATTACACTTACCGTATTCTCTTCAATGTCAATTGCACTTACTGTAGTCTCCTTCAATGTTAGTTACACTTACCGCAGCCTCCTTCAGTGTCAATTGCACTTAAGTGTCAATAGCCTTTACCGTAGTCTCTTCATTGTCAATTACACTTACGGTAGTCTCTTCATTGTTAATTACACTTACCGTAGTCGCTTCAATGTCAATTACGCTTCCCGTAGTCTCCTTCAGTGTCAATTGCACTTACTGTAGTCTCCTTCAATGGGAACGACACTTACCGTAGTCGCTTCAATGTCAATTACGCTTCCCGTAGTCTCCTTCAGTGTCAATAGACTTTACCGTAGTCTCTTCAATTTCAATTACACTTACCATAGTCTCTTTAATGTCAATTACACTTAACGTTGTCTCTTCCTTGTCAATTACACTTACAGTAGTCTCCTTCAATGGGAACGACACTTACCGTAGTCGCTTCAATGTCAATTAAACTTACCGTAGTCTCTTCAATGTCAATTACACTTCAATGTCAATTACACTTACCATAGTCTCTTCAATGTCAATTACACTTACCGTAGTCTCTTCAATGTCAATTACACTTACCGTAGTCTCCTTCAATGGTAATGACACTTACCGTAGTCTCCCTAAAGGTTAATGACGCTTACCGTAGTCTCTTCAATGTCAATTACACTTACCGTAGTCTCTTCAATGTCAATTACACTTACCGTAGTCTCTTCAATGGTAATGACACTTACCGTAGTCTCCCTCAATGTTAATGACGCTTACCGTAGTCTCTTTAATGTCAATTTCACTTACCGTAGTCTCTTCAATGTCAATTACACTTACCGTAGTCTCTTCAATGTCAATTACACTTACCGTAGTCTCTTCAATGTCAATTACACTTACCGTAGTCTCTTCAATGTCAATTACACTTACCGTAGTCTCCTTCAATGTTAATGACGCTTACCGTAGTCTCCTTCAATGTCAATTACACTTACCGTAGTCTCCTTCAGTGTCAATTACACTTACCGTAGTCTCTTCAATGTCAATTACACTTACCGTAGTCTCCTTCAATGTTAATGACGCTTACCGTAGTCTCCTTCAATGTCAATTACACTTACCGTAGTCTCCTTCAGTGTCAATTACACTTACCGTAGTCTCTTCAATGTCAATTACACTTACCGTAGTCTCTTCAATGTCAATTACACTTACCGTAGTCTCTTCAATGTCAATTACACTTACCGTAGTCTCTTCAATGTCAATTACACTTACCGTAGTCTCTTCAATGTCAATTACACTTACCGTAGTCTCTTCAATGTCAATTACACTTACCGTAGTCTCTTCAATGTCAATTACACTTACCGTAGTCTCTTCAATGTCAATTACACTTACCGTAGTCTCTTCAATGTCAATTACACTTACCGTAGTCTCTTCAATGTCAATTACACTTACCGTAGTCTCTTCAATGTCAATTACACTTACCGTAGTCTCTTCAATGTCAATTACACTTACCGTAGTCTCTTCAATGTCAATTACACTTACCGTAGTCTCTTCAATGTCAATTACACTTACCGTAGTCTCCTTCAATGTTAATGACGCTTACCGTAGTCTCCTTCAATGTTAGTGACACTTACCGTAGTCTCCTTCAGTGTCAATTACACTTACCGTAGTCTCTTCAATGTCAATTGCACTTACCGTAGTCTCCTTCAATGTTAATGACGCTTACCGTAGTCTCCTTCAATGTCAATTACACTTACCGTAGTCTCCTTCAGTGTCAATTACACTTACCGTAGTCTCTTCAATGTCAATTACACTTACCGTAGTCTCCTTCAATGTCAATGACACTTACCGTAGTCTCCTTCAGTGTCAATGACACTTACCGTAGTCTCCTTCAATTTTAATTACACTTACCGTAGTCTCTTTCAATGTTAATGACGCTTACCGTAGTCTCCTTCAATGTTAATGACACTAACCGTAGTCTCTTCAATGTCAATTACACTTACCGTAGTCTCCTTCAATGTTAATTACACTAACCGTAGTCTCTTCAATGTCAATGACACTTACCGTAGTCTCCTTCAATTTTAATTACACTTACCGTAGTCTCTTTCAATGTTAATGACGCTTACCGTAGTCTTCTTCAATGTTAATGACACTAACCGTAGTCCCTTCAATGTCAATTACACTTACCGTAGTCTCCTTCAATGTCAATGACACTTACCAAGATTCAAGACTTCAAGATATTTTTTTATTACGCTCTGACACACAAAGTGTGTAACAAGAGGTCAAACAAAATAACATCAAACAAATAAAACATGACAGAGAGAGTAGATTACACATGGACAGATCCAGCATTATTTCATAGACAGATTTATCATTATTTCATAGACAGATTTAGCATTATTTCATAGACAGATTCAGCATTATTTCATAGGAAGATTCAGCATTATTTCATAGGAAGATTCAGCATTATTTCATAGGTAGATTCAGCATTATATCATAGATAGATTCAGCAATATTTCATAGATAGATTCAGCAATATTTCTTAGATAGATTCAACAATATTTCATAGATAGATTCAGCAATAAATTCATAGATAGATTCAACAATATTTCTCATTGTTTGATGTACATATATGTATCAGAAGTATTGTTACAAAGTAACAGTAAGATTATACATGAACAGATTCAACATTATTTTCTTACATGTGAAATAGTAAGTTTACACATCATTATTTCATACATGTGAAACAGTAAAATTACGCCTCATCATTTCATACATGTGAAACAGTAGTATTATACAAGGACAAATTTAGCATTATTTCACACATGTAGATTACATGTGAACAGATTCAGCATTAGTTCACACGAGTGAGAGTAGATTACACATGAACAGATTTATCAGCATTAGTCATATATGTATTGAATACTCAATTTTCACAGCAAATTATCTTCACTGCCATAATCATAATGCAAAGTATAGTATTTTTGACATACTGATTTATTTGCAGTTTTACAAGAAATGTACTAACCCTTTTGATTAATCGTGTATTACATATTGTAAACATTCCTTTCATTTTATCAACATTTGGGTTCGTGTAATAATATTTTGGAATATTTTTTTCCCTAATCTGGCGTATGGATTCTTGTTGGCATTTAAACAAATAATGAAATGCATCTCCTGTTTCATTTCTATTACACAAAGTACATTCTCTTTCCTCTCGAGGAATTCCCATCCAACGGCCAGTTTCCAGGGGCAGCGGAAAGTTTGACGAGCGAAATTTTCAAAACACAACACGATCCCTCTTGTTTAATTGAGTTAAGTAATTGTCAAAACCAAAATTAGATTTAAATAATAGATAATTTTGTCCTCTACTATTTTTTCCGATATCGGCATACCACTTTTGAATAAACTGATCATTAAGCTTTTGTGTTACAACATGTTAAGTTTTTTGTCGTTCTAGAGTAGTCACTTTTTGGGATGTCCAGACATATGTCAACCCTAGATCCTTTAGTGTAGTTTTGATCAAATTTAGCCACTTCGAGTGAAATGCGCCCGTTTCGTGCATTGCATGTATAATATTATATAACTGACTCGATACTTTACCATTTTCTGTTATTAGTTTGTGCCAAAATAAAATCATTCTACTTTTAATAGTATTTTCTAAAGGAAAACGTCCCGATTCTCCATATACCATATAATTAGGCGTAAATTTCCTTAAATTGAGAACTTTTTTTATAAATTTCAGATGTATCGTTTCCAAGAGGGTAATATTTTCGAACTCCCATATCTCTGACGCGTATAACAGTATAGGCAATATTAATGTATCAAAAAGTTCAAACTGCAGGTCTACTGGTAAATTGATATTTCTGATTTTCCTATATAAAGCAAATAAGGCTTTCTGGGCTTGATCAGCTAGTTTCTTTTTCGCCTTACCAAAGTTTCCAGTATAGTTAAACAATAACCCAAAGTACGGATAAGAATCAATAATTTCAATTTCCTCTCCGCAAAGCATAAATGTACTACTGATTTTCGATTTTCGTTTTGAAAAGAAAACTATTTAGATTTATTTGTATTAACATGTAATTAATTTCCATATTTTACGATAATCGCCGAATACATCTAAAGCTTTCTGTAGACCCTCGGGCGATTCTGCCAGTACAACAGTATCATCCGCATATAACAAAATGAACAATTTTAGGTACATTCCAATAAAAATTTGACTAAGATTATCAATATCTTTGAGACATTTCACCTCATTATTAATCAGGAACTCTTCTAGATCATTCAGGTAGATCGAAAATAAAAATGGCGATAAATTTTCCCCTTGTTTTAAACCGATATTGCACGTGAAGAACTGAGTCTGCTCGTTTCCATTTTTTACACATGACTTAGTATCAGTATATAAGTTATAGATTACATTTAGTATTTTGCCATTGATATTGCTTCTCAGCATTTTCCCCCAAAGTCCACCCCTCCACACTGTATCAAAGGCTTTTTTAAAGTCAATGAATGAACAATATAACTTTTTATTATAGGAGAGATACATTGATATTAGTGTTCGCATTTTCTGTAGTAGAATAACCTTTCCTAACGCCAGCTTGGCTTCCATGAATAAGATTTGTTTGATCAGATAATTGATTCAATCTATCATTTAGTATAGATGTAAAAAGTTTTCCCAAACACGATACTAAAGTTATTGCTCTATAGTTGTCAAGATCATTAATGTCGCCCTTGTTTTTGTATATTGGTTTAATTAGCCCCACAGTCCATGACTTAGGTATTATACCAGTATCTAATATTGTATTAATTAATTTGACATATATATTTATAAAAGGCTCTAATGAATATTTTATATGTTCATTCAGGGTCTCATCGTTTCCACATGCTTTATTATTACTAAGATGTTTAACAGATTTCCTTATCTCTGTCTCAGTTATTGGACCATTTAAAACATGGTCATACAATTTTTTCATCTAATGTAGGTAACTGAAATTCTTCCATATCACTGTTATCAGTATTAAGATATTTAAAATAATTGAAAATTTCATCTATTTTTTATCGACTTTTGATATTTTTCCTCGTACAATCTATTTTGTTCAAGATATCCCAAAACTTTTTCGGATCACTTTTTGAGGTTTTTCTTATTTCTCCCTCCATTTTTTCTTGGAAGTTTATATAACATTTGTTCATAGTTTTACGATATTCTTTACCTTTCCTTTTCAACCTTTTCCTATTCAATTTTTTTTTATCATTTTATAGTTATGCTTAGCGATATTAAACTCGCGTCTTTTCTTGGCACATTCATGTGAAAACCATTGTTTAGTGTTTTTGTCATTATTACAAAGCGTCAATAGTAATAACACTTACCGTAGTCTCCGTCAATGGTAATCACACCTACCGTAGTCTCCGTCAATGGTAATGACACTTACCGTAGTCTCCGTCAATGGTAATAACACCTCCCTTAGTCTCCGTCAATGGTAATGACACTAACCGCAGTCTCCGTCAATGGTAATAACACCTACCTTACTCTCCGTCAATGGTAATGACACTTACCGTAGTCTCCGTCAATGGTAATAACACCTACCTTAGTCTCCGTCAATGGTAATGACACTTACCGTAGTCTCCGTCAATGGTAATGACACCTACCGTAGTCTCCGTCAATGGTAATGACACTTACCGTAGTCTCCGTAAATGGTAATCACACCTACCGTAGTCTCCGTCAATGGTAATCACACCTACTGTAGTCTCCGTCAATGGCAATCACACCCACCGTAGTCTCCGTCAGTGGAAATGACACTTACCGTAGTCTCCGTCAATGGTAATGACACTTACCGTAGTCTCCGTCATTTGAAATGACACTTACCGTAGTCTCCGTCAATGGTAATGACACCTACCGTAGTCTCCGTCAATGGTAATGACACTTACCGTAGTCTCCGTCAATGGTAATAACTCCTACCGTAGTCTCCGTCAATGGTAATGACACTAACCGTAGTCTCCGTCAATGGTAATAACACCTACCTTAGTCTCCGTCAATGGTAATGACACTTACCGTAGTCCCCGTCATTTGAAATGACACTTACCGTAGTCTCCGTCAAGGGTAATGACACCTACCGTAGTCTCCGTCAATGGTAATGACATTTACCGTAGTCTCCGTCAATGGTAATAACACTTACCGTAGTCTCCGTCAATGGTAATAACCCCTACCGTAGTCTCCGTCAATGGTAATAACACTTACCGTAGTCTCCGTCGATGGTAATGACAATTACCGTAGTCTCCGTCAATGGTAATAACACTTACCGTAGTCTCCGTCAATGGTAATAACACCTACCATAGTCTCCGTCAATGGTAATCACACCTACCGTAGTCTCCGTCAATGGTAATAACACCTACCATAGTCTCCGTCAATGGTAATCACACCTACTGTAGTCTCCGTCAATGGTAATAACACCTACCGTAGTCTCCGTCAATGGTAATGACACCTACCGTAGTCTCCGTCAATGTCAATGACACTTACCGTAGTCTCCGTCAATGGTAATGATATCTACCGTAGTCTCCCTCGACATTTATGACACTTACCGTTGTCTCCCTCGAATGACACCTTTTGTAGCTCACTCAGTCATGGTAAATGGCTCTTTAATTTTACCGTAATCTTCCTCGAATTTAAGTGCACATTACCCTAGTCTACCTCAAAGTTAATGGCACTAGTCGTAGTTTCACTTTCAGGATTAAAGACAGTCACCGTAGTCTCCGACAATGGTCATGACACTTACCGTTATCTTCTTCGAAGTAAGCAGTACTTACCGTAGTGTCCTTCGTAGTTAACGGCACATGGTGTTATCTTCCTTGTTAAATAATGACACCTACTGTAGTTTCCCATGAAGTCAATAGCACATTACCTAGTCTCCCTGGAAGTTAATGGCACTTACCGTTGGTCCTTCGATTTAAATTAAACTTACCGTAGTGTCCCTCAATATTAATGATACTTACCGTAGTCTCCCTCAATATTAATGATACTTACCGTAGTCTCCCTCAATATTAATGATACTTATCGTAGTCTCCAACAATATTAATGATACTTACCGTAGTCTCCAACAATATTAATGATACTGACCGTAGTCTCCCTCAATATTAATGATACTTACCGTAGTCTCACTCAATATTGATGATACTTACCGTAGTCTCACTCAATATTGATGATACTTACCGTAGTCTCCCTCAATATTAATGATACTTACCGTAGTCTCCCTCGAAATAAATGACCGTAAAGTCAAAGTTTGTTTTGAACACAAACAGGATTGAAAACATATTTTGCGAGCTTTCGAAAACGTCTGTTTCTTTTACCCGCTGAAAGCAACTCACTAAGCCACAATGAACCGAATCAGCGACGTCAGCTGTCAAAAATCATAGCGACATTTCGCCCAGTTGCATTCTAATACTGCAGGCAGTCAGGGGACGGGTTACATGTTTACCCATTCCGCCTTAAACAAACTTAGCCTTTATTATACATACCAAACTGATGAATCTTTCTCCGAAGACAATTACGGTAGTTTCTCTCGATACATGTATCAATGTCACTTACCGTTTTCTTCCCCGGTGTAAACAGGAACCTGCAAGTCAATTCCGTAGTCTCACTTTGATGTTCATAACGTAAGAAACATGTCTAGGCACTTACCATATTTGTCAGAAACGTTAACAGTAATTCGTAAGAAAAGGGCGTAGTCTTCGTCGACCACTATGTAGGAAAATTCGTTAAAACACTTACCGTAGTCCCCTTCGATGTTTACCAGCAATTTTGTTTCACATTTTGGTAAGCATTCTACGGTCTGGTACATGCCAACGGTCTTTGTCCTTTCGACGAGGGCGCTACTGACATGTTTGTAGGACCACCATTCCGGATAGAAGAAAGATAAATACTGCAGTGCTACAGAGACAACAGTTACCGCTAGGGCCACAATGTCTAACACAGTAGGACACAGGAACACCATTGTACTCGATTTCTCAAACACGACAGGTGCGATCTTCACAGGTGGATTATTTCACAGAAAATATCCTTTCACATAAAGGAGGTGTTTCTTCTATCTAATGCTACACAGATAGTAATTTCCAGGTCGGTTGTTACACGGTTTAATCCTCTCACATAGGTGATGTTTCACGGATAAGTTTATTTTTACTGTTTGTCGTGTAACTACAGTTGGTGGTACTAGAAAAAGTGCAGTGCAAACAGATTTGTATCCGATTTATGTAAACAAATATGTATCCGATTTAGATCATTCGCCTAATGTTACTAAACAACGAATGTAGTGAGCAAAACATTTCCAAAATAATAAATTACTATAAAGATGCCCAGTCTTTTTTCTATGTAAACTGTAAACACTGTCCTCAACGTATACACACGACACTATTCAACTGTTTACCGAAAAAAAGTGTATCACCTCAGCGAGCTCCTCGACTTCGTGACGTCATCCCGGACAAGCCTCGTTTCGTAAACAATCACCGTATTTATATACCACAAAGTTTGCAAGTAAGTTGCAAGTCCAGATGAAGGCTTAGCTAAGTTACATATCCGTTTGTATCGCTTTCATTACATTGAACGAGCAATTTTACTAATACTGTTTTATGGAACGATGAAGTATCTGCTGTCCCAATAGCATTTTGAATGCATGTGTTGTTTTTTCTCTAAATTGCTACCCTTTCTTTTATTGCAGTGTCATATGACGTCCTCATATGGCCTTGGCATTTACGAGCAAACACACAAACAATAAAGCAAAGACGTTAAACTGCATACAAAGTGATATACACGATGTACAGTGAAGCAACATAGATTGCCTTTCCTAAAGGGCCTTATGGCAGAAAATCATGTATGACATATGTATCTAAAACGTTGTCTATCCATATTATGTCAATAATACTTGAAACTAGGAGAGCTTCAGTACTAACCGGAAACAAACATTTCCTTTACTTGGTCTAATACACGAAGGCTAAGCGCTAAACTCGTCGACCGGAAGTGTGGAACATCGGGACATTTGTTACCGTCCACTCCAACTTTCCGAAGTATTAAGTGATGTGTAAGCAAAGCCGGAAGGAGATAGCGAGGCAAGGCCTCATACCCATCGGAATACCTCGATAATAAAACCATTCGGAGCATAAGACATGTCGGTTGTTTTCCTGTAAACTAACATTAAATGATCATGAACAGTCCAAGTAATACACGTTGTTACTTTACGAGAAGCAACAGCAACTGAACAACGCCATCTCTAGCATCTCTTGTCTACCGGGATTTTGCAAAAACATGTGATTTCTATGTCAGTCAGTCCGTCCATAACCAATCAGTTAGTGGCTGATAAAACCGGGGGTAAAGTTGCAATGTAAAAATGTCAAATATTATTGGTAATGTAGTAATTAATCGTTACGTATCGTTAGGTACTGCTTATGAGGTTACCAAAAATAGAAACACCCACATATGTATTATGCCTGAAAGAGAGTGACAAACTAATTGGTAAACGTCACAATATCACTCTGTCAATTATGAATGGCGAATTGGAAGTTTCCCTTTCTGTTTTGCTGAAAAACTCTTGGAGCAAAAATAAAATGTATTCATACTAGTTCGATCCTTTGGTGTACATCAAAAGAATCTCGCGGTCATGGAACGGTAAAATAATGACAGGCTTTGAAGTCGGGCGTTTCCTCTTTGTAATCTTCAAAGGACAGGTATCAGCCTAGCGATTGGTCAGTTTTGTTTTACCTGACACCAATCAAACAGCTATTGTCGTCCTTCAATTTTGCTATGACATATTCCAGGGCTGTAGAGAGCGAAAGTGAGCGTAACCCCTGGATATCGAGGAGCTGATACGCTGTCATTGACCACGTGTTTTGAGACTGAAGAAATCACCTCTAGCTTCAAAAGCAGCAACGGTGACACCACTTGGTACTATTTTAAGGTCACGTGAAACCATTTCTTCAGAGAAAACATTATTTTATTATTCAATCAGCTCCTGAGATTGTTTAAAGTGGTAGCTGTATATAAGCCGATCAGTATATACTGGGAGACATGTAAGTACAACGTAAAATCAAGGCGGATCCAGGACGTTGTGTAAGAGATGGCGTAATTATAGATGATACTTGAAGTTTGTCGGGATCAATTCAATGTAGTTTGTTCTGTTGGGGCGCGGAGAAGGTAGCAAAGACCGCTTCAAAATAAAGAGAAATTTGATTAAATGTATTTAATTTTAATTTCCTTTAATGAATTGACAATTTTTGACGAAAGTTACCTTAAAAGGTAAACTAACAATATGTAGAACTAACTTTTAAAGCAACAAAAGTGGAGTTTAATCGAACGCCGTTAAGTCAAGAGAACCTCGGGTCAAAGGTTTTAAATTACTGATATTCATGATTAAATATTCAAAACTAAAAAAAGATGTCCGTGTATTTGAAATGATAACCATCAACAGAAAAAAAATATGAAAATAAACTATTGTTTTGTAGATTGCTATATAAAGATTGGAAAAAAATCTAATGCAATTTTGTTTCATGATTTATAAGATTCGTCGTAGTATTTCTATAGTAAGGTTTTATACACGATTGTTTAGGAAGGGTCCAGGATCTGTGTATGACTACTTGTAATACGGAAACATGACGACAAGGAAGTAAATATCGCAGTGATAAGGGCACTTAAATTAAGGATTGACCTTCATTTTGACGGCGTATACGGTAGTATGGACGCAGTTGGCTACGAACATATTAAATGTTGCGCGGTACCGCTCCATAAATAACATGTTCTTTGCCAACTGTGTTCATACTACCGTATCCGCCGTCTAAATAAAATTCAGTCCTTATATTTACATTCAAAAAATGTTAAAATGATACATTACGCAGTAAAAAAAAAGTCGAAGCGGGTTGCCACGATGGTAACTACGGTAGCCGTGGTTACTAGGACAATGTAGTTCCAGTGAATCTACACCGATATATGAGTAAATTTAGAAAAAAACGCAGTGAGCAACACTATTTGTTTCCTTTCATGGTTTTAAAATTTTAAACTAAGCAATGTGAGAAGCCCTTCGAACTTTTCTATTCATTTACAACGGTCGTTATGTACGCGCATTGAAACACTGCTCCTGGAGTGACGCGGTCGAATGTTTCAGAACGAAGCTGCCATTGTTGACGTTACCGCCAAAGAAATTTGAATGTGCATTCATGGAATAAAAAGTTTGTCAGCATTCTTTTGTTGTATAATTTGACATAATGGATTCCGAATATGTTTGTATCTAAACGGTGAATGAACCAAGCATTGGTTGTCATTGGACTGTTGTCTTGCTGGAGCGTGAACGGTGCCATATTTGAAACAAGTATCAATCCGCCGAGCCTTTTTTCACTTCGTATACGCTACTCTATACGCAGTCAGAGTTTCCTAATCTGAAGAAGGGAGACGTGTAGATATTGTTCTTTTAAGACACGTGTTTTCATTTTCCGAGATACATGTACAGATGGTAAAACAAGAGGTCCTCAGGACCTTTATCATGCCGATATCTTATCTTGAGTACTACAGCCAAAATTTCCCAATTTCGGATTCTGCCTCTCGGCGGCGATTAGGACAACATCCTTCCTTTACATAATATTTAAGTCATAAAGATGTTTAAGAGAAAACTTGGTTGAAAAATATTTTACAGAAGGAAAAGACTACATATGTAGGTCTCGAGAGACAGGTAGCATCTGTGTTTTATCTCTTTTTGTCTAGCAACTGTGAATTATTTATTAGTGTTGAATTGGGATCTAGCTGGTTCATTGTTATAAAAATGACATAAATACGTGTGAATGATTTCAGTCCCTTTTATTGAAGGGTGTCCCTAGGGGGGCAACATCAACTTGAGTTTTTATTGCAAACACACTGAGTTTACAAACTGGATTTAGTCAAAATCCATCCAGGCGTTTTGGAAAGGTACATTTGACGGACAACTGTTGTTGTGTAATGTCATAAATCGACATGTGTAAGCTTAATTATTAAGAAAGGAGGCTAGGTGGCCATCTTGAGATTAATGGTCGGTTTGAGTGGGTATTGCATGTACATTAAGATACTGAAATATGTTACTTTGGCCCAGATAAACTGGAAATAATTATGAGAATGGTGGGAGATAACTAAAACCTTTCCCTACTATTATAACTGATATTATAATGTAATTGTATGGCATATATTAGCTTCTTTCTCTATTGTAGCTTTTTAAAAGTAGGTTTCTTTTAAAGTTACGTGGTTTTACATTCATTTTAGTTATTTAGTCTCTCTCTCGTAACTCTTTATTAGTGGCTTTTGTCATGTTTTATGTATATTTTATTGGCATTGTATGTATGCGGAAGGTGAGACTTTTATAAACTAGCTGTACCTCGGGGAAATCACAAAGAAATCTGAACCCGAGGGGTGATACTCTTGATTGTCTAACCTGACTAACCTACACACACAAAAATCAGTATGGAAACCTCCGCGTTGGGAATATAAATATGTCATTTATATTATGATACTGGTCATATTCAAAATTTTAAAGCACAAGAACAATCTGTATAAACAACGAAAGCAGTTTGTATACATGTTCAAACATCAACACAAATGCTACCAGAGCCTAGTATACGTTCCGACAGCGCAGGGACCTGAACATTTGTTCAGCTATATTTGGACCTAAACTAAGGTGTTCAGAGTAATTTTTCATATTTTAGGGGTTATGATCAACTTTCGGTAAAAATGACACCCCCAGTGATCATAAATAAGAGAAAGGCGGAAAGCTCTCGACTTTCTTGCATCAAAAACAACACTTCTAGTTTATCTAAAATGCTTAATACATGTACCGTTGGAAAGATGGATAACTTTTCTTTTAAAAACCTCCTAAATGCACGTAAAATGTAATCTCCTTCCGCGGACATGATCTCCGCTTCCTCCAAAAACACACGCCATTTCAGAGTTCCAAAGTTGTTCGTAGTCATCGTGCTACTTTTTTGTATTTTAATAAGGTTGACGTCAGCCACGTGCCGAGACCCGTGGTTTGATTGGCTGGAAGCGCAGACATTTTTTTCGCTAAACCAACCAACACTGCATGTTTCGGTACTAAGCATGTTTCTGTAGATCAACTAGAAATTGTTGTTTTTGATACAAGAAAGTTAGGTGGCAGGGGCGATACAGAAATGTATTGATGGTGTTGCCAAAACCAAAAACTTAAAATTAATTTAGAATTAATTTCGCCACTATTTTCTGCAATTGTACTTAGGAATTCGTATGAAGATTCTATCCCATTTTCTCTGTCATCACATTATAGGGATTTATATATAGAGTATATACAGCTGATTATAGCTAGAACATTTTTTTTTTATTTATTTACTCTCGGCGAATGAAAACTAATTCAAGATACATGTATACAGCTGACACTCGTGTTAGATTGACTGTTGCATCACTTCGGGCTCCAATGGTGGCAGAGTACAGTAGAAATGGCTTGACCCTAAAAATAAAGGGC